GCAGCTGCCCTCTACCACCTGGCAAGTGCAATGATGCTGTGAGCTCGCAGCTGTTGCGACAGAGTCAATGGGCTGGACAGTCTTTTGTTACTTTGGCGACTGACTGTCTCACCAGTGGTAATTAATAATAATAATAAATAATAATCATAACAATTAACTTCACATTTTGTGTAGAGCCTTATCACGTCGTTCAGACTTCTGAAAGCACTTCACAGGACTTAACTTTCAAGTGTAGTGGCTATGTATTTTGTGGGCGAAACTAAGAAGCCAATTTGCGCACAGCAGTGTCACAGCCATGAAATAAACGACCAATTTTATTTGAGGGATTGTTGCCCAGAACACCGGGAGAAACTCCCTTCTCTTTTCACATAGTGTCACGTGATCTTTAATGTCCAGAATAAGGAGGTGAAACAGTGCAATGAGTCAAGTGCAATTGCCATTGGCAATTTCCAGCACTAAACAGTGTATCTGTTAAGTCCAAGTTGACTTTGTACCACATCTTCACAGAAATGCTCTTGGAAGCATATAACTCTCAGCTTACTCGCACAGCGGGGTGGGGGACGGGACACAGCAGGGGTAGAGAGTAAAATGAAAATGATCTTATGAGGCTGTATAAATGATTTAGCTCCAGTTGAAAGGCAGTTCCTAAAGCTTGTTAGGCTTGGCAGCAAAGTCTGAATTAAGTGTGTTTGGAATTGCAGTTACGCTAGGTTTTCTACCCCACATGTTGTATCATACTAATACACTTATCACCACCGCCAGCTTTATTATTGAATCCTACTTTCCCCGTGAAATGTTATTTTAAAATAGGTGGAACATTTGTGCATTGGAGTAGTCACTGAATATTCAAATGTCACACTTGACTATTTGGGGGAAAACACTGTAAAAATAGCTTCTGAATTTTCCATCCGATTATGCCCTTCTGTCGAGCACCAGGATGCTTCCCAGCGTGGGGGACGCTATATAAATACAAGTTGTTGTTGTTGATAATCCTCAATTCACCCCCCTCTTAACTCATGACTCGCCAGTCATCAGTGGAGATAACGGGGTGGGGTGCAGTATCACTGGGGATGATTATCACATCAGACGCATTTTTCTCTCCTACCAGAAAGGGGTTCCCCAAAGCTCCCTGGCACAGAGAATGTGGGGTATATGGAGGTCAATGGGCATTGGGGAGAACAGGCTGTAAACCTTCACCTCCTCTTATACCTGTACACTGGGTACACCCTCCCCCTTGCCTACGGGGGGGGAGGGTGTATTTTATTTTTTGGGGGACACATAATTGTTGTCCAGAGTCTTTTCTTACTTCTCTGAGTTTCCCCACCACAGTTTACCCTGCTCCAGTTTATGTCCGTCCCTCACCATCAAAGCCCTCCACGGTCTTGCTCCTCCCTACCAGTCTGACTTCCTAACCCCGTATCAGCCTGTCCGCTCCCTCTGCTCGGCGGACACCGGCCTGCTTCAGGTCCTCCGCACTTCCCACCCCACAATTGGTGGTCGGGCATTCAGCATCACTGACCCCACACTCTGGAACTCTCTCTCGCAACCCCTCCACCTCATCCCATTGCTTGCCTTCTTCAAGTCCCGTCCAAAGACCTTCCTCTTCCACCGTGTGTGCCTTTGGCCACTCTCCCACCCTCACCCCTCATGTCCTCGACCCCTCCTGACTCCCAGCTCAGGTCCAAAAATCCCTGACTGTCCAGTTAGATGCAGGTACCATATCCCCCAAAATGAGTTAACTCCTCAGGAGAATTTCGGATGTTATTTCACGATCATCATTCCAGCTCACTCTCTAAATTACGTCGCAAATCTTAATTGCCGCAGGGGCAGTATAATACAGAATTTCTACCCCTCTGCATGCATGGGATTTTGAGGAGCTAAGTGTTCTGTACAAATGATACCAGATAATTAATGACCTGTCTGAGACACACAGACCGCGGAGCAGATTGTATTTGGTTGAAACAGCATTGCCTCTGGGATTGGTTTATGCTTTGCCTCAGCTTCATTTCGTATGAGCATATAACATTCTGACTTCCTAGGTTGTTACTGTGCGGCAGCAACTGCCAATAGCTAAGTTTTTATTGTATGTATTCTAGGACCAGGGGAACCATTTCAGTGATTCAACACTATATGCCTGTGTTTGACCAGATAAAAAATATTTGCTGTCTGCCAGACTAAAATCCCAGTGACCACATTTCAATTTCATGTGTCAGATCTCAAGCAATTCCCAAATTATAATTTATAGTTACGAAATATAATTCTAGCTGGATAGCATTTCATTGAATTCGATGTGGTGAAGCAATCTGAACCTTATTATACCAATCCTAATCGGCCAGTCGTCTTGCAAACATAGAATTCTACTGCTTTTTACAGAGAGTAGATTTTTTTTTCCCCTTCGCCTTTGATAAAGTTGAGTCAAAAATATTGTGTAAATAGCATCACTGCTCTTGAAAAAAACAAGCCATTTTAACCAAACTGACAAAATGCAAGTGTTCTGAACGTTGGGATTGTTGTGTCAAGGAGATGAAATGAGGATTGAGAATTAACATAAAGGTTCCCATTCAAATCATGTTAAGAACCCAGTCAACACATCAATGCAATAACTCTCCTGGTTTCTCAGTGACTTAAGATGACTTTCATAGAAGCATAGAAATGTAAAGCAACAGTGTGAGGCCATTTTTTCGTGTTGCTGTTTGCTCCTCCAAGAACCTGTTCCTCAATTCCTAGTTCCTTCTCGTTCCCCATATCCTCTAATTCCGTTCCAAATGAAAACAAAGTAAATTGGGGATAGCGAGTTTGACTGACAACATACCCAGACTTATTTTCAATGATCAGTAACATAACACCCATCTATTCTAGCATAAAGATGACATCTAGGAGGATCCAGTGTACTTTTAGGTATGAACATTGCTTCATTGTAGATTGGATGATCTGAGTTAACAGAAAAATTGAGCCTCCATCAAACAGGTTTTCAAAAATGTAATATGTAAACATGCATCAGTCTGAGACGGTCCTGTCAAATGCCTATTAATGTCTGCTTACCTGACACCGTAAACCATAAGAAAGTGGTTCATAAATGATTGATTGCCTTTTTTCAAATCAGAATTTATTTATGATTTTTAAGCTCTTCAGATAACTAATGGCAAAGAATGGCAGGTTACATGATGTTGCATGCAGACTGACACTGTAACTTACTCTGATTTATTGTGCCCATACATTGAAAGTGAAAGCCGGACACTTTAAATGGAGTAAAAGATTAATGCTTGGATAAACATGTCTTGTTTGTCATAAACCTTGTTTATGAAGCTGGAAAGTGCTCACGCTGACAAGGCATGATTCTGTGGGACGCTGCTGTGTGCAGTTGGCTGCCTCGTTTCACCCATAAATATACAGTCAATTCCCTGTGAAGCGCTTTGAGATGTCTAGAAGATGTGAAAAGCACTATATCAAATGCAAGGATTATTATTATTATTACTACAGTATGATGGAGAAATGCATTGACCCATTCTGCGGTAATTAAGCTCTGGCATTCCAAGTCAAGCTTCACCCCACTGAAGTCTACATGCTTTTTGCTCTTCTACAGAATAAATGACTTTAAAATAAAATATTTATTTCAGGACACGGAATCTCCTAAACAAAAATGTATACATCATGATGTGCACATATATCAAACTGGAAGAGCAATTTAAAATGATTGCAAGTGGGAGATGGAAGCACTTAGGGATGTCTTGGTGGAAAAAGGCCCATTTCATTCATATCTAATGAGGTGCAACAATTGTTACGTGAATTATTTCACAACGCAACACGCACCCAACACAGCTTTGAAGTGTCAGTCTAAGTTGACACTCCAGTGCAGAATGGGGGTCTGATGCATTTTCAGAGATGCTGCCTTGCAGATGAGACCTTAAATCGAGTTCAGGTGGACGTTAAAGATCGCATGGCACTATTTGAAAGAGAAGGAAGTTTCTCTCAGTGTCCTGGCCAACAATCCCCCAAATAAAATTGCTCATTCCTTTCATGGCTGTTTGTGGGACATTGCTATGTGCTAACACATTTGCCCACAAATACATAGTCACTCCAAAAGTGCTTTGAGATGTCCTTCCGAAGTGGTAAGGTACTGTGTCAAGAGCAAGGATAATTATTACCGTTTATTATCACGTGAATTCATTCACATATGGAGGGTGGGGACGCAGACAGTGCAATAGATAGTAACTACTCAACTTCTGCTTTGAGCCTTGGAAATCTCCAGAATAATTGGTCATTTTCTGCATATAGGAGCCGGCTGGCACAAACCTTTACCATGTTTCCCCACACAAACAGTCAGTCAACTTCACAGAAAATACCTGTGATTTGCTTTGATTTCAGTGTGATAGAGGTTGTGTAAAAAAACCTTTTCCTAGGATTTCCAGATCTACCTGAATCCCTCAAATGTAATGCAGCTTTGTAATCGACCCTCTGTTATCCTGTAAGTAAATTATTATACGTTCATGAAATATGATTTATTGGTGGTAGATTAATAGTTCCAACAAAATAAGGTCTCGAAATATTCTCAAGAACTATGCGCAAAGAATACTTGAATAAACCTCAAGGAAAAAAAACATTGATGGATCTTAATAAAACATATAATGGGCGCAGATTTTAAGTGTCAACGATGAAGTTTCTTCTTTGTGAAACACAACTCCTCTAAACTATCAAACTGTTGCACATTAGAAATAGGATCACATCCACAGACCTGGCGTTACATCTCTTGTGTTGCTTCTCTTGTGAGAGCGACACAGCCAGAAGCAACAACAAAGATTTATTTGGTTTGCTGTTGAAATTTTAACCATTCACAGTGTGCCATCGACTACAGATTTTGATTGTATTTTTTTCCCCCGAACGTGCTCCCAAGTGCAGGGATTTGTGTTGTTGCGGGAGTTTCCTACAGCGCGCTTCAGGATTATTCATGTACACAGAATTTAAATATCTCTGTCCTTGCTGTGTTTCCACTGTCTTCACAGGCTATTTCATTCCTAACGCCTGTGGCTGTGATCTTTGTGGTCAAAATAATTCGAAGGACAGATAAAACAGAGATCAAAGAAGCTTGTTTAGGTAAAGTGTGTCCTCTGTGTATAATAGACTGTTGTTAATTTCTTTAAACATCGAAATTCTGGTGTTTTTTTAAAAATAGTTTCTATTGTTCTGTCTGCTCGGTGTCAATGTATTATCTAACCTTGTGTCTGCTTTTTTTTAATATCCAGCTGTTTCTCTGGCCCTCGCTTTGAATGGAATCTTTACCAATACAATTAAATTAATAGTGGGAAGGTAAGTTTCATAGTTCAATAAAGCACATCAAAATTGCCTAATTGATAAGTATTGTAAATTTCTGGTCAGGGAACCCCAGCAATTCATGTACGTTAAACGTAAGAGAAAAATAGCAATACAGCTGATGTGTTGGTTTACTTAATAAATACTGTAACTGGTTAAGAATGTGACTGAGGAATTTAAAGGTAAGCGTTCGACTACAATAATTTACATTTAGTGCCCTTGATGTAGGGTCTCAGAGCGCTTTAAGTGGTGAGGCGGACATTGAGCAGGATACGAGGGGAGGGTAGGAGGAGGTGGGGGAAAGGAGATGACCATAAGCACGGTTGAAGAGGTAGGTTTTGAAGCAAGACTTGAAACCAGATAGAGAGGGCACGAGGCGGAGTGTTTGAGGGAGGAGTTCCAGAGGCTAGGGGCGTAGGGTAGATAGAGACGATCAAATCCTCCATGAAATACAATGATAACTGTGTTCTTGGGACCAATGGAAAGTACCTGGGTGTGACTGAATGGTGGACGGATGGGGATAAACACATATCACTGATAACAACGTTGGGAAAGAGAAAAAGTTCACAGTGGTGTCTGTTGCAAAGTGAGAGGAAATAAGTTGGGTAGAAATCATGATGGCACAGGTTGAATTTCGTACATGGAAGGAGCAAGCTTGATGGGCCTTTCCTTGAGGGAGAAACAGAACAAGGCATAATTATATTTGTCATTTTATTGTAGAGACTATTGTGCAGAGCAGCATCACGTAGGAGCAATTCAATCTGTGTAAAAATAAATGCAGGATGATAGGGAAATATACAAACACAAGGCAACAGACTCCAAATTAATACTGTATAATTAAACTGATTTGGATATGAACATGTCCCAGAGATTCAAAGACAAATTAAACAGAGAATAAGATAAATTGATATTAAAAAGATTCTGCTGTACTCACCCACGCCACATTGTATATTATAGCACTGCTTGAAACCATGAAACTTTTCTACCATTAACAAAAATGTTCTACAAGAGGCCACATAGGGATTCAAAAAGTGGATTGTTTTATGCTGCATATTTTTTTTGCATAATTTTCCCCGAAGGGACCATAAAACCTCTTCCAGAGATGAAACACATATCAGATTTCAAGAGCGTTTCAGATTTAACGCAGATACAGCAAAATTAGACTTCTTTATAAAAGAAAAGGCTTTAAAATATTTCCGAAGCAGCCACAGTGACTTGTCAGACATTAACATTTTATTAGCTCTGAATTAGTCATTTGTGTTGGATTTTTGTGCCATTTTAGCTTGGTATCAAGTGCAATTTCCAAAGACATATAGAAGTTAAATTCCTTCAACGGTTCAGTGAGTAAAGGTAACTTTATCCAGATTTGTAGCTAAACCACACAGACTGGGAAGGTCTTGCATTTGATTCCTTATTCTGCGCTGAAGAGGTAGGTTTTGAGGTGGGACTTGAAGACAACAACAACAAGATTGCATTTACTCTATCAATATAATTTTGTGGTGGTTGTTATTTGTATAGCGCCTTTCACGTCGGGAGGACATCCCAAGGTGCTGGACAGTGTACAGCATTTCAGACCCGAGCTGGGGTCAGGGGGGGGAGACGGGAGGGGAGGGGAAGAGGGGTGGCCGATGGCATGGTCGAAGAGGAGGGTTTTGAGGCAGGACTTGAAGGAGGCTAAGGAGGGGGTGAGGCGGAGTGATTGGGGGATGGAATTCCAGAGGTTGGGGGCAGAGTGGCTGAAGCCTCTCCCGCCAATGGTGGGGCGGGTGGGGTGGGGGACATGGAGCAGGCCAGAGCCGGCTGAGCGGAGGGAACGGGCGGGTTGGTAGGGGGTTAGGACGTCGCAGAGGTAGGGTGGGGCGAGGCCATGGAGGGCTTTGTAGGTGAGGAACAGGATCTTGAACTGGATCATCTGAAGGATAGGGAGCCAATGGAGTCGGGTGAGACAGGTATAGAGGGCACGACATGGAGGGCTTGAGGGAGAAGTTCCAGAAGTTAGAGGCGTATTGTAGATAGAGATGATCAACTATTTTGTGAAATACAATGATAACTATGTTCTAGGGACCAATTGAAAATAATTCCATCATTTTCATCTCAACGAGCTCGGGGTCAGACTCCGCCACTGTCAAGCGCTCTGGGATCCCACCCCACATGTAGGGCGCTATATAAATGCAAGTTGTTGTTGATCTCAACGTTGTTTCTGATCATTTCTCAAGGGCAGTACTGAGCTTGTAAATGGTAGTAAAATATATTCCAAGGTGTTTCATTTACAACTAGCTCCAGCTCCATTTTATTTCCTCCAAAGGATCATTGAATCCTGAGGGCTCGGATACAGCAATTCCCAACAACAGATCAATCAATGCCACTCTTCGTAAAGTACATTCAGGGCACAACAAGAACTCCCTTCCCCACCTCCATCCTCTGCACGTACAGAGCGCTCAAGTCATGAGTAGCATTATTTATCAGCCTGGCTAGAAAAAGATAAAGCTCACTGCCAACATCAAAAAGCAGATTCAAGTAGTATGTAGCCCTGGGACCTTAATCTGTGCAGATCCGGTTTGGATACAGATGCTTTCTTGCCTGTATGCCAGCGGGATGTTTTTATAAAACTGCTTTATACAAGGATTGTAAATAGGAACTCATTAAAGGGGCAGTTGGGGTAAGATTCCGCCCGGGTGTAGATTCACTAATAACGGGAGCATTTCAGAGCTTGCAAAATTTGACAAATTATTGAGTTCAGCCCTAACTTTCAAACCAGTTTTCTATGGATCTTAAAATGTACGTTTGGGGAGAGGTAAAAGGCAAATGTCATCCGTCATTTTCATCTCAACGATATGTGAACAATCTACACAATATTGCATTTCAGTGTGAGATAAGTCATCTGATATGTGAATAAACATAAAATAGGCCAAATGTCTTTTTCATGAATTCAGCCCCCGTTAAGACCCTTTCAGGAAAAAAAACAACAACCCAATTTCACTTTTGTAAGTCAAGAAGAAATGCAAAGTGAATTAATTGATAAGGAAAACATTGTTTTTGGCCAGCCAGGTGTCTGACACATCAGCAAGTTTAAGAGAATCCAAACCAGATTGAGAGCTCCACATTATTCATGCATGGAAATTCCTGTGTTAGGGATACAATGAGCATTCTCCCCAGAGAGATGCATTCTGCTGACCTAATTCTGGAGAGCATTAGGCGCAGGTTGGCAAGAGCTTCTGGGCTTGGGGACCCCAGAGTGTGCGTTGGGGTACAGCTGGAGTGTAGGCAACTAGGAAGGAAGTGACGCAAGAGGAAGATGATTAATGTACATTTAAATGGCCACAACAGACTGAAATTCTTTTCTAAAACAAATCCTATCTAAAGTGAGAACCGGCACTCCATTCAATACAATGTTTTTTTGCAGCTCGGTAAACCAATATCTTAACCTCAATAATTGCAGATCTGATCTAACTGGATCTTTAAATAGACTGAATTACTCTTTGCAACCATCCATGTAGAATGTAACAGCTGGAATAGTGCAGAGAAGTTTTTTTGGCAGCTTGGTGTATTATGCAAAGATTCTGTTCTGGTTGAATGTGTGGTTAATAAGCCAATGCCCACAATACACTGAATGTGCAAAACTCGACATTAATATATTAGTCCTGTCAGGTGGAATATAGAACTATTTATACAAATTAACTTTACGGCACATGATTGCGTTCTTGTGCAATAATTGCTAACGTGGTGGTTTTGACAGTTGCCAGCAAGTAGCCTTTTATTAATTAAAAATAAAAGCCTCGATGAAGGTAATGCAGAGAAGATTAATAGCATTTTATCAAGACAGTGGGGAAAACTAACATTATTATCGTTTTGAAAGCCATCGTAATCTCAGTGTCTTGCTCAAGCACCACATCGAAAAAGTCAAAATCCTGCAGAATCCTAGGAGATATTTATAGATTTTTGGACAAAATCTCATTTTAACTGTACGATAACCTGTAATACCCAGTCTTCAATCTTGAAATGGATTTTCAAGACTCCTGCGTCCCACTTACAGCTTGGATCATCAGCCAATACACAGCAACAAATCAAATGCTACTACAACAACTTGCATTTATATAGCGCCATTCAGCATTTATGTAGGATCCCGGAGCGTTTAAATAATGCATAAATAATGCGAAATGCAGCACGTGGGTTGGTGCGCTCAAGAGCTTTGTGTCTTGAGTCAAGCTTCGAAAATGCTTGCGTTTCTCAATCTACATTTTTAGTCATTCCTGCCCACCTCTCGAAGCATCTTTATACTCTGCAATGTCACCAAAATGCTCTATTTTAGTCAAGGATTCACTGCTGTCTTATTAACCAGTGTCGTAATGCATCATTGGGAATAGGGCTTGATTGTAATCCTGATTTATAATACTTCATGTACAACCTAATGAAGTCTGATAATACAACTTCTGAATCCTGTTGAATGTTCAGTATAAGGCTGATCTGACTTAATGTCCAGTTAATAGGGCGATGCACATATTACAATCAATTTGCAGTTCTCCCCAAGTGGAATTCATCAATGCTGTCAGTTAGTAAAGATTTATTCACATCACTTCCACGTGCAAAATATTCGCTTTTCATCTTCATTCAAACCAATAATTATGTCAGCATACAGGATTCCCCCCAAAAAACCCAACCATAATTTATGTTTAAAATCCCAGCAAAGGGGATAAAATGAAAATAAATAAAATGAAAATAATAAAATTAAAAAATGATAAAAATATTTATACGTAGCCCAACCAGGCTGAAGGGTCCAAATGTTGTAATAATAATAATACTTGCATTTGATATGGTGCATTATCACATCTTCGTGACATTTCAAAGCGCTTCACAGAATATACACAAAATTATTATTATTTCTTTTTGGATTTGCCAATTGACGAACAACTGGGTTCCTACTTACTGTTAGGTAAACAGAAGCGTGTGGAGTAAGGAAAGTTGCCCAAAGTTTTGCCCGGCCCGTGAAGTCCTGTAGCTCAGTGGTTAGAGCACTCGCTTTACAAGCGAGACACCTGGGTTCAATTCCTGGCAGGTCAGGGCGAAACCTTGGGCAAGTTTCCTTACTCCACACAGAGCCTGATAATAATCCCTCCAAAACAAAACAATAATACATTGGTCATTTTCAACCCACGACTGTTTGTGGGACGCTGCTGTACGCAATTGGCTGCCGCGTTTCGCCCACAAATATACAGTCAATTCAATTTACAGTCTATTCTGTGAAGCGCTTTGAGACGTCGAGAAGACGTGAGAAGCGCTGTATCAAATGCAAGGATTATTATTATTATTATTATACAAACCCAGGTCCTCTCGCTTGCAAGGCGAGTGCTCTAACCACTGAGCTACAGGGCTCCGCAATGATGCATATCTTCATGTCTTTGTATCCAACAGCTGTTAAAGAGAAAGTCTACCACACTGAATTCCCCCCTAAAATTCTAAATGTTTCAATGTGGAGATCACTATGCTTCTTGATGTCCCTCAGTTGCGTTTTGTTCCAGTCTCCGGTGCTTTGAAACCGCTGATTAGAGGCAGTTCGGAAACAAAGATTGTTCATAGAGCTCCCCTGACGTGGCTCCATTAGTTACTGCAACGTGATGAATGAGGAGCACTCACCACAGCTCAATGTGGATTGTACTTAATGTAACATCTGGGGAAGTTCTACACCAAATGTCTGCTCCCAGACAAGCTCTAAGCAACAGTTTTAAAGCACGGAAACCAGTAAAGCGAGAGAAAATCGAGAGCAAGCATCAACTGCATACATATCTCGAAAAGGTATTTCGCCCACAAAATATACAGTCAATTCACTTTACAGTGTGTTCTGTGAAGCGCTTTGGGATGTCCTCCCGACGTGAAAAGCGCTATATCAAATGCAAGGATTATTATTATTATTATTATTATAGTATATTCTGTGAATGGTAATGAGACGTCTCAAAGACATGTTGAGGCGCTATATCAAATGCAAGGATTATTATTATTATAATATTTATACATCAGAGGAATTCCATTAGAATACACTTTGCGTGTAATAAAATGCAATGGTGATTGGCTTACGATAAAATACAAGACTATGATGAATAGTAAAGCTACGATGTCTTCATTCACAAGATTAAGTTTGAACCTTTGGAACTCCCTTCCAATTACTGAGGTGTATTTTGTGGTATTTCTTGATTAATTTCTTCATTAAGAAATCCAGAAATCTGTGACACCACAAACACCTCTTTGATTTGTGCAGTGAGGTTCCCTTGAGTCAATGTGACATGACCGATGTACTTTCAGTTGAGAATTTACCAGCCTCCAAAATTGCTATGAAATAGATACAGGTTGCATCTAATAATAATAATAATAATAATCCTTGCATTTGATATAGCGCTTTTCACGTCTTATGTAGAAGATAGGTCTTATCTTAGGTAGAAACAGGAATGCGGTATTCATTCCCTTGTACATGCTTAATTGTGATTAATTCACAAACTTATTCACTGTATGGACACAATAACAGTATTACTCAGTTGCCAAATAAATGATCTGCAATAAGTAAACCGAGGCAGGACTGAAGTAATCACTTATTAATTGATGTATTTATTCCTTCTCCTTTATTAAGTCGGTAAATTGCCCGACTTTAGACTGTTTTAATATGATCTTAGATCGCTGTACAAATGTTTCTCCCCAATTGAGTAAAGTGGATATGTAGAACAGATCACAGAGCAAGAGCATTTGCTTGAGAACATTTTTTATAGGGATTGATACAAACTGAAATAAACAAGCGTTATATTGGAGTCATCAATTTCTGTGTTCCTGGGAATTGTCCTAAATGTGGGGCATCAAAGAGGCCAAATTTGAATAATGGAAATGTTTCAATAATGGAAAGAATGGGGGTTCACGGACTCTTGCAGTTAATAGACCAGACGGGGTGAAGACAGATGCAACAGGATAGATTTTGCCTGCGCTGTAAACAGACCAGACTTCAGTGGTCAAATGTTGATTTCCCTGATCCATGCCTCCTGACCATTTTCTTTCAGGCCTCGGCCCGATTTCTTTTACCGTTGCTTTCCGGATGGCATCATGAACCCTGAGATGCAGTGCACAGGTGACGAGCATATGGTGTCCGAGGGCAGAAAGAGCTTCCCCAGCAGTCACTCCTCCTGTAAGTCTGAAATAATCCTTGTGTACACTTCGTTGGCTTTACTCCTGCCTCCTTTCCTCGACCCACTGTCACTTGCTACCCACTCAGTCAGTTTGCTCAGCTGCAGTAATAATAATAATAATAATCCTTGTATTTGATGTAGTGCCTTATCATGTCTTTGAGACGTCTCAAAGCACTTCGTTGAATATACAGTAAAGTGAAGTAACTATATTTTGTGGGCGAAACATGGCAACCAATTGCGCACAGCAGTGTCCCACAAACAGTCGTGGATTGAGTGGCCAAATTATTATTATTTGTTCTTTTAAGGGATTATTACCCCTGGAAAAGCGATCCACCAATCGACTAACAACCGGGTTCCTACTTATTGCTGGTAAACAGAGGCGTGTGGAGTAAGGAAACTTGCCCAACGTTTCGCCCTGCCGGGAATCAAACCCAGGTTCTCTCGCTTGCGAGGCGAGCTCTCTAACCACTGAGCTACAGGACTCCCAATGGCAATGGCAGGAGAACAAATGGCTAAGCATTGCCTGTCTCCTCTTGGTCTATTTTAGAATCTTTTCGTCTATTCCCCTGGCACTTATCTGGGACAGAACAATTGAAGCTAGAAAGGATCCAACAGAAATCCTTTGCGCAGATTCCAGCTATAAATCATTCACCACCGTACACACTGAAGTAGGTGACTAAACACCTCCAGATGCAACATGATTACATTGTTTTCAGCAGAAATATGATATCTTGGTGTTTTGCTTACCATCCAATTCACGCTGTGCAGAGGAATCTACAACACTAGCAGCTACTTGGAACCAATCTCACCCACAAACACTTCAACGTGCAGTTGCCTCAAAGTTGTGACTCTATTATCTGACCTGCAAATCTTCCTCATTGTGTGGCCCAGAGGCCCTCAAGTCTTAAACTTCATCACTGATCAGTTCAGCGGGCTGGGAGCTCAGTCAGTCTGAATGGATGGCCCAGGATCTCAGTCTCTCTGGAGTCTTTCAGTCTCCGCTTGCTCAAAGCCAAAAACAAATGGTATGCGGCGACTCTGGAGATAACAGTAAACACCACTTGCTTTGTCGTCTCCAGTGGGTAGAGTAGAGTTAGAGAAATATGTACCTCGATTTAGGAATTATCATAACTGCAGTTTCCCTCCTGCCTCAAGTGTCCTGCATCACTGCTGCCAGTTATGGCAACACTGCAGAATGAATGTGCCAAGAGTGGGGCCAGCTCCAGTAATCTCAAGGAGGTCCTATTGATTGAACACAAATCAGGTATTGCCAAGAATTGCCAAATTAAGTGACGCCCAGGATACCACCAGTTGAAATGTGAATATCCTGTTGAGTTTCCCCCCCTCCCTCCCAAAAAAAAAGATTCATTTCAACTTGAAATAACATTAGACTGAGTAGAATACAATACTCAGCGGGTAATTCTTAGCACTGCAGTTTGATTCTGCATGCAGAGGCAAGCTAATTTTTAAGTGAAAGATGGCCAATGTATAAGTACTATTAAGTGGTCTTTGGAAATCCGCAATACTATTGGATTATTATCTTTGGTGTTCCAGCCCAGTCATAAACAGCCTCAATTTGGTGTCAGTTGGTTACAAACTCTGATCCCAAACTCTCCTGGTATTAGAGCCTTAAACATAACTAAGGAGGTTTTTCTTGATTCGCGTTTAATGTTTCTGTAACTACCTGGGAATGACATTTTGTCCTGAATTATTGTTGGGAGCGCGATTAGAAAATATATCAATCTTTGTAATTAAAAAAAACGCGGCAGCTCTAATTTAATCAGCAAATGCATTCATTCGATGGCTGAAAGCCACCGTAATAAGTGCAATGTGCTTGAACTTGATGATTCAGGTTTACTTAACACAACCCACGACCACCACATTACTGTGATAATACTGTGAAATAATAAGCAGATTTTCAAGCGTGTTTGATGTGGGATTTTGTGTACAGATGGACGAAATTAATAACATTCTCAAGCACTTCCTTTGCAAACTTCCATCCCCTTCAGTAATATACAGCACCATCATTGGCAGAAGTGCACAGCTCATGATATTAATTGCATATTTTACATTAGCTTTTAAGGCCACAAGAAAAATACCAATTCCACTCTAGACACTTGCTATAATTTCACAGAGTTCGTACTTTCCGCTTTACACAGAGGACTCCAGAAAGCCTTGAGGACTGAACTTGTTTTATCCACACTGAAGTTTAGAGCATTGCAGTCAGCCGGGAGGTGGGGGGNTGATGTAAATAATAATGATAATAATAATACTAGCATTTGATATAGCGCTTTTTCACGCCATTGAGACGTCTCAAGCGCTTCGCAGAATATTATTGTAAAGTTGGAAAAAAATCCACTTTGTTTATGGGTTGTACAAGTTATTTCTGTCGTTGTCCTATACACTGTGAAATTTTATCACAACAGTTGCCCACAAATGTTAATGACATTGCTCATATATTTCTTGTGCCAAAGAATTGAAAGGACTGCAACAAATAGACTGCAAAACCTTCAACGTTGCTCTTTTACGAGATAACTCAGAGGGTAACCCAAAACATATTTACATAGCATTCTTAAAGGGACGGAAATTAAATAGCACAACACATGCTGGCACCCAACGTGGGGTCAGGCAATGAAGGTAAGTGGGAAAATACTGTTTATTTAGAAACCAGTTATTGGGTCAAGGTTTCCACCTCCTTTCTTAATAGAATCATATGAAAAAATCCATTACTTGATTGGAGATTTCAATCTTGGATTCTAATGCCTGTAATTTTGGATATCAAGCCAGCTCAGTTGGTAGCGACTCTTGTTACTTCCAGCAGTGGGAACACATCACGCAACACTGATTTTAAGACACACATTACACTTAGCAGAGTGTTGTTTTTTTGCCTTGCCCGCGAAGGCCAAAAATTCCGCCCCGTCTTAGTCTGCCTGATCTGTGTGATCGGACACAGATTGTGAAAAATTCTGAAGTTCGGTCTTAATTTGGAAGCTTTTTATTTTAAAAAGCAGTGATCCACTATTCAGCGTGATCTTAAATTGTATCTTAAAATCTTAAAAGACGCAATAATAATCCTTGCATTTTTTGAAATCGTTCTTTGGACTAAAACTAGGTGGAATACAATAAATCGAGTGCCTCAGAGGTGTTTTGAACACTGTGCATATAATCCCACAAAGCACATGCCATATCGGATTTCTAAGTGCCGAGTCTTTGAAACACATTTGAATTAGTGTCAAGAGGCCAAGAAGCTCCGAAAGATTGATGACTTTGGGTGTGGGGAGTAGTTTTTAACCGAACAAAGTTCCGAAACCAACATGGTTACACAATAGTTTTATTTAAAAATCAATTTTACATCAATGTAATATGAAATTGCATATAAAACCCCACAGAACAGTGAGGGTGAAAGAAAAAAAAGAGACTATCTCTGCCCTCCGATGATTTTATTTTACATCCCCATTTAATGACAAATCACAGTAAATTGCAGTGAAAGTGTGCAGAGCTCAATCATTGCTGGAGCAGCAGTCTGTGATGTTAAATATGGCATAATGTCGCTAACTATGGTTTTAACACCTTTAGAACATAATCCTTGGCTTGGCATTACAGTGTGACTGCAGTTCTGTGATATCATATTCCAATCTTTGAGTGGAGCTGACATACATCTCCCTTGAAAGCTGAATATCTTTTCAAATTAAAGGGTTTGTTCCAAATGCCATTTCTTGCTCCCTAAGTGCTGCAACGAGGAGCAATTTAAAATTGAAATTTAAAATTTAGAAGCCACCAGCTTCTCCCTCGTTGTTAACTTGCATTTTATCGGAGTAATTTTACAGGTGACTAAAATGAAATGGGTCAATCATGTCATTGGCCATTTGTGGGACTTTACGATAAATCCTGTGAAGCCCTTTGAGACGTCCTCCAAACGTGGAAGGCATCATATCAATTGTAAGGACTATTCTTATCATTATTTCAAGCCTCAAATTCGACCACCGTTTGCTGCAGCATTTTCCTTCTACATTAATATTCTCTTTAGACCAGCTGGAGACATCATTAACTCTCTCTCCCCGATTCGCTTCACCTCCGACAACATTACACTTTCGTTTCCAATTAATTTGTTCCATGTCTGTATTGTCTCTTCCCCCTGCGCTGGGACAGGACCCATGTGTCTCAGCCATGTTCCCTCAGTCACTTCCCTTCTGAGAATGACATTTTTTAAATAAAAATTGATCTTGATCTCCCTTCAGTGAACTGTACAGAAGCGAGTGCTGCTCTCATTATCTCAGCAACAGTTTATGAGTGTGTGAGGCTGCTATAAAACACTTGAGCAGTGCGAGGTCACAGCAGCGGAAGGTTAAAAAACCCCACACAAGAACAAAGTCACTTTACACTAAAAAATAAACTGCTGCTCACACAGATGAAATGTTGTATTTTTTGCCTGCCTGGAACATTTTGCTATGAAACACCTATGGTACACAGTATAAGGATCACAAGATCATGAAAGAGGTACAGATTAAGAAAGCCTTACAGACCATTTTATCTCATCCTTCCAGAATATCCATCCTACCATACTCCCATCATTGCATCAAGCAGTTTTGGCCTTTGTCCTTTCTTTCCTCATTCTTTGAAACTCCATCCCTCTGTCCCTACACCTCGCTTCCTTCCTTGCCTCCTTCAAGCCCATATTTCCGCAATTCTCCTGTGCAACCCTAAACACTCGTCCCTTTGTTTTACTGTCTTGGTGCATCTGAGCGTTGTTCTGGGTTTACCTTCTCAATCTCATTTAAAAGGTTATACACCACTGCAAGATCCCTCTTTCGAGACTAAAAAGCACTTCCTTGTCTAATCGTTGCTCGCAGTTCATTCCTCTAACGCTAACAGAATATAGTGTAAAGCGAAATGGCTGTATATTTTGTGAGGGAACATGTAGGCCAATTGGGCACAGCAGTGTCCCACAACAATAACAACAACTTGCAGTTATATAGTGCCCCTAATGCAGGATAGCATC